CAGCAGAGAAGGTAACTAATTGTGAGGAGCACCCGTCTCCTGCTCTGAAAAATCTCCTACGTCAAGCCTGGAGCAAACTGCAACAGGACCATCAGAATCTGCTGAAAAATGGCATCAATGAAATAAACATTCATACATATACAAATGTGTATATACATACACACGTATATAGTATAGACCCCTACATGCACATTTATCCGACACAGAAAGCTCTGTGAAGTTATGCCGTTCATCTGCTTTGCAAATGCAGAGGCTCCCCACAGTGTATTTTCCCAATCCAGCTCTCAAAGCCTTTCTATAAATTTTGCCAGAAGATGATTCCATTCTACAGATTTTGTATTTTTAGAAATGTTAAATACTACAAAGCACTTTCCAACCCTATCATCTCCTTTGCACATTTTTTTCCCCTCTTGTCTCTACATTGCTTTCTAATGTATCTGCTTAGGTGTGCCCAGCAAAGAAGGGAGCAAAGCGCTTTGCCAGTAAAAGAGGGTTTTTGTCTGCACTCTCTTTACTCCACTGAATTAAACTCTCCTCCAAGACGGGGATGACCAAAGCCTTGGTAAACTTCAAGATTCAGGAATAACTTCATATTAATTGACTGCCCAAAATTCCTGCAGCAAGCTAAACTTTTTATATTCAGATCCATAAATACTTACATTTACCATCTCCTGTTTCCCTGATCATTCTTCATTGGCATCCCAGTTTAATTTAACACCACCGTTTTGGTGACCCCTTGTCAAGTGTGACCCTTGAACCTAGGATCACTGTTACTTCTTTCTTTCAGTTCTATCACCAGCCACTCAGAACAGGGCCATCTGAAATTTTATTTTGTTGCAACGAAAAACAGCATCAGCTTCCCCTCCACCCCCAGGCAGTGCCGTGGTGACCTCCTCTAAGGGCTGCCCCGAGGAAACGCCGATCCAGACCAGCAGCACTGCTGCTTCTGATTTTTAATCTTTCAGAATTAGAATAAGAAATAAACAAAACAAAGCATGTTCTTATTCATAGACCATACAAAAAGTTATCTTCACGGTTTTGGCTAGAGATAATTTCGGCAGAGGTAAAACCTGGGGCTGCAGCTTCCTTGGAGCATCCCGCTCTGGCATATTCGGCTACAAGACCCTGCAGAGAGCCAGACACTGCATTTTTCAGGAAAATCTCTTAACGTGTGGGGAGTGGAGCAGGACTCACAAATGCAGTGCGGCAGTTGTGCAGTGCCCGTTTGGCAGGCTCTGTGACTCCTGCAGCTCCAGCTGCTGGCAGCGAGAACTTGGCATGCAGGCGCGCAGCTGCAGGGCGCCGCAGCTTTGCAAAGCAAATGAAAGGCAAATGCTCTTCGTTTCCAAACGAGACGTGTAAAACAAATCACAACTACAGCTCCTTAGGGAACAACAGCAACTTGGTAAAAACAAATCAAGCTCCGCTTCTGCAGAGGGGCCTGGGGTCGAGGCCCTGCATTTTTAGGGTTTCTCCTCGTGCTGGAGGCAGAGCAGGAGCTGCGCTCCTGACCCCGAGCGAGGTGCCTGGCTGGGGCATCATGAGGATCATTAATGCAGGCTAATAAGATAGCTTGCTATTACCTTTAAACAACTGTTTAACATCCCTGTTGGCACACTTTGGGTCCGAAGGGACAATGCCACAAGGTATTGGGTGGAGAGGGTGAGCTCCTTGTGCACATGCGGTCTCCCCAGCAGACCCTCCCTTCCCCTCTCCCCCCAAGGACCCCCGGCTCTGCACGCAGCTATCAGGGGATTCAATTTACCTTCCTGTCACTGTTTCTTTAGAGTCACAGAAAGGATTGCACCTAACCCGAGACGCTCAGGCTTTAAAGCAATGACTTGCTGCTATGTCTGTGGGTTAGAAATTGTATAAAGTGTGTTTGGCAAGGAGCAGAGGGCAACGGGCTGCCCCCAGACTTGCGTGGGAGATAGACCAGTTTGCAAGCCGAGTGTCAGAAACCTTTGCTCCTTCTCCCTGTATCAAATGCTCGGCTTTGAAGCCTGCTCTATCACTGCTTTATCGCTCAGACCGATGCGGTACAACAGCAATTCTGCAGCAGTGCCTTTGGTTACAGATAACCCGGGCAGGACGTGAGCACAGCGGGGTTTTGTTGGGAAATAGATCTTTGTGCAACAAGCTGCCTCTTTTTTTTTTTTTTTCTTTTTTTTTCTTTTTTTCCCAATCAATCAATAAAGGAAGACAGAATTGGCAGTTCTGGTTTCGTAGGAGGGAACCAGAAACATTGATTATGCTGGGGAACGTCACACAAACGAGCAAACCCGCCGGCTTTATTGACCTGCCAAACCTCCTCCCCTGTGCCCGTAACCCACGAGCCGTGCTCCCCTTGCACACCAACGGGAGGGTGCTCGCAGTCGGGGTGCCCAGGTGTCACCCTGTGCTATTTGCCAACCAGCCTGCTCCGTATCGATCCGCATTATCGGTGTTTCCATGGATAACTTAAACTCTTACCTTGCAATGCCCTGTGTGTGGTTCAGCCTCAGTGCTGGGGGTGTTGGTGTGATGCCTTCCTGCTGCCCTGCCGGGCAAGGCGTGGGCACTATCCTAAAGCCTGGTGTGCAAGAAGGATTGAAGGATACTCTTTCAGAGTTTCAGACTCTAACATCTTAAAAAAAATTAATTTTTTTTGCTCTGATATTTCCATAAGCATCAGCCCGGTGCTCAGCACCACGTGCACCCAAGCAGAGCCTTAACACACTCAGGGCACAGCCCGCAGCTCCAGCCTGGCCTGCAGCTGGAGGGGACAAACAGCACTTTTATTTGCAATGCAGGGCTGGAAGCTGAAATCCTCTTTGTGTTTGTTTTTCTTCTTGTGATGCCAGGGGAAAGGCCAGAGGTGCACGTTTACGCAGGAACACCCGTCTGTGGCACTGGGTGTCAGTGCAAATGCAGGACCCACGCGGGAGGGTGGTTTGCTTAAGCACGGGGAGCTTTATTTGGTCCTTAGCTGTTTAATTCAAAGCTGAACCTAACCGTAATGAACACTGCCTTGTATGCACTGGAAGGGGAACGACTGGGAAACAAATAAAAAGAGAAAACAAACTTTTTGTAAAAGGAAATAAAATGGATTCTTCAAATCGAGTTTCCATTGCCGAGAATCTCCAACGTTTGTCCCACAGGATCAGGATCAGAAGCTTTACCGCTGCCAACTGCCAGCGAGGCTCAGAGGTTTGTGCTTGGTTTGGTTTGAAGTTGCCAAAGCCATCCTTACCTCTCTTGCACTGCTCTGCCTGCATCCATTTGTTAACTGCAATTGCTTCATCTTAGCACAGAAACACCTTACGATTTTAGCTATGCCACTCTAGCAGGATGGGGCTGCACATGCTGGGGGTATAGATTAGGACTATGCATGTGAGATGTTTTGTTTGCAGACTTGCAGCATGACAGTCTGACTACAAATAAAATAAATAATAATAATAATAATTTAAAAAACAAAACAAACAAACAAAAAAAACAACAACAACAAAAACAAGCTGAATATTTACAAGCTGAATTTACAGACGAAGAGCCCAAGTTTGTGTCACGCAATCCCACCGGTTTGCAAGCTGCATGGGTATGGATTTCAGGGCAGATCCCACCTCCTTCTGCTGCAAAAACAGGTTCAAATTCAGGTTTAGACTTGAAGTTTTAGCCTACTGAAGAGGTGCGTTTAAATTATTTCTCACGCGTTTAACTCACAGTGATTGCTTAAGGGCCTGATCCACAGGAAGTTTTTGTCTCCATTAAACTCCGAAATGTACCACAAAAGGAGGGAGAAAAACGCGGACGGGTTTTAAGGGAATTCAGCCGTAGGTTGTTTCCCTCCCTGTAATTTTAGCTCCATAATCAGCCCTAACTGATAACATTTCTGAGAAATGCAAAAAAGAAGCACACCTCTATGTCTGCATTCATTCCTCACAAATAGATTATTTTATGATTCATCTAAATGATTCACATACTATAATTAACGAGCTCTACAGTTAATTGCATCTTTGCAAGATAGTTTAATAATCAGAGTAGTAACTTGACAGTTTTTAATGGCGTATATGCGATGGGTGTTTTATATAAACTCCGGCTCAACACAAACAAATACACAAAAACAGATTTCTCCACAGACAATCTGGATCATTTTAGGTTTAGAAAACCTTGAAGCAGATAAACCTTGCTAGAAAGGATTTAAATTTTTTTTTTCTCTGTAGTTGCATAAGCAACATTTGGAAGGACATCATCTGGTTAAACAGGACATTAACTTGGGAGCACTTTTGTCAATTGGTTCATCAAAATGCACTGCAACGGGCGGATGGAGGAATCAACAAACTCATCTAAAAGTGCTACTATAAAAAATATTTTTCTCCATCATTTCTTTGTCAGTACCTCTACAATAATGCAGAAGAAGGCTCATTAATCTATGACTTTTAATGTTCTATCACTTCCCTTAACTTTTCATATGGTTAATGCCAAAAAGGTTTGATTTAGTCACGGAACTGAAATTAACAGTAAAATCTGAAATGACTCGATATCTGTGTTATCATTTGTGATCACATTTCTCAGGAACCACTCTGGCAGCACTGATGCTATGACCCGATCTCTGCCTCTCAGTCTCCTGAGGATTAATTTTCATTTACGTTTACAAATCCTTAATTTTAAAACAGACCCTCTTCCCCCTTCTTACCGCAACTTACCCGTTTCAGGATTCAAGATGTAACTGAAAGAAAGAAAATCCTGAGGAGCTGAGGAAAACAAGCTGAAAAACCTGAGGAGCTGCTGAACACAACCACAGCGACGTGCCCAGCTCCTGCCTTCACCCCCCATCGCTCACCAGGGTGGGGATGGGGATGGGGAATGGCTCTCCTGACAATTTTCAAAGCTGCACATGGAAATAGGGGATGTGGAAACAGGGAAGTCTGATTTTTAGCACTGGAAGTCTAATTTTTAGCAGGTGGTAACACTTGACCACATAACAACCAAGTGCATCTAGAAAAAAACGAAGGCACCAGAAGAAAACTAAACCAGGATATTTTAATTCTACAAAAATGTATAAATATTGAAATGTACAGCAAAGAGTACCAGTAGACCATTGAATAACCGTTACAACATTTAAAATGTGCAATTATTTATCCACAATCTACTTTTACAAATTTAAATTTTATGTTCCTAGCACTTCATCAGGAGCACTCGCAAGCAGGTCCCCAAAGCCGCCCCCTGTCCCTCGGTCTTCTCTCTTGACCGAACGCCCGGCACGATCCCCACCTTCCTCAGGTGACCGCGTGCCTCAGGTCTTCCAGGGGACCCCCGGCCAAGCTGGCCCGAGTGCTTGCTCTTGGGGGAAAAGAATAAATGGGGGTGACAACGTACCGGAGCGGTGGTGCTGGAGTTGTTACCAAACGTTGGGAAAGCAGCAGTGGCACGGAAGCCACGCAAGCGAGTGAAAAAAACACTGCAGTGTCCATCCGACACCAGCAGACCCGGCGGCAGCTCGTGCTGGCAGCAAACCAGACACACTTTGGGGGTGCAGCGTGTCCTGCGGGGACGGCACCGGGGGCTTGGGGTTGTGGGGACAACCCCAGAGCCCTCGTGGCAGAGCAGGTCTCCAGCAAGCTGGCACAGCACAGCACAGCATGTCATGGTGTTCAGCAGTGCTCGTGAGCTCCTTTTTGGCTCCCAGACTGTTCAAAATGGGCAAACTGGGCAGAGTTCAGCTCTGAGCAGAACCCAGACAGAGCTGCCTGGGGGAGGCTCTGCCCAGCACCCACGGGAGATGCAGCCAGAAGGTGCAAATAAAAAAATCAGAACATACCACTCGACATCCAAGTACACAGTTTTTCTTCAAAGCACTCTTCCTATTAGAGTGTAAGGAAGAAATAAATCCTTCTTGTGCCTGGGAAATACGTGTTTGCAGGAAACTCACCCGTGACTGCCCCAAACGCCTCGCTGTTTCAGCTCTCGGCTGTCCCTGGTTTCTCCTACCTCTGGCACTGGGACACAAACAAAACTAGTGCTGTCCACAGTGCTTATGGCTCACCTTGCTCTTCTAAACGTTCCCCTTGCTGATGCCACCTTGCATTGCGGCTGGCTCGTTTCATCAAAGCAATTCTCAAAAGAAACAAGAACCAGAAGCATTTTTTCCAGTGAAAACAATAAATAATCACATTTAGTATCTGGAGAGTTCTCTTCATTTCAAACACTTTGTGCAAATAGCAACCAGCCCTCCCAACGCCTTTCTGAGACATTTTATAAGTGGGGAACCAAACACAGATCAGTGCTTTTCAGACATGGTTTGTGGCTCTGAATGCTTCCCTTTGCACCTCAGACACTGCGAGGCAACCAAAGGAGCAACTTCAAATGATTTTAGCCAATTTTTTTGCCAAGATAATGCAGGAATTTAGTGGTTGGAGGAAGGACTGGGTCCAAGTGCTCAGTAACTTACATTCATTCAGTAAATCATGTAATTTGTCATCCCTGGCGCTGTATCAGCATTTAAGGTGCCGCACACCACCACCACCTCGTTCTGCACAACAAGCTGTACAGGACGCTCTCCTGGAAGGGCTTCCAGGGCTTCTGCATTCGCACAAAGGAGGTAGATCCAGGATTCAATCCCTCGAAGCCGATGGAAATACTCGCCGTGACTGAATTAAGAGGTGCTTTGGTGCTTTTTTCTCCTAGGTCTGAGCGTAATGCCAGACGGTGGCCACCCTGCCAGCGTGCTGAAGGCTTGCAGCAGCACCGCTGGGATTCTCAGGAGCGGGGGTACTTGCTCACAAGCTGCTCAGATAGAACAAATCCATATTTCCCTTCTACTTTTCTCCAGCCAGTGCACGGCAGTCCAGCCACAGATCCACGGATACGCCGGCTGCACTCAGGCTAACAAAGTAAATGCACTTGGCCAAGGGCGTACACACTCTGCATCAGCCTTTGTAGTAATTCTAAGGAGAAAAATACTCTTTTCTTCAACTGTTTTTGGGTTGCACCCCCAGCCTAGGCAGCTGCAGACTGGCTGCACCTCTCACTGCCTTCCAAAAGCTCCAGACCCAACAGTGGCAGTGCCAGAGGCTTCGTGGCTGTGGCCATGTGCAGCTGGGGGAGCAGAGCCTGCACCACCGAGTGCGCTCCCTAATGCTCCTGGGTGCTGCAGGACCTCCCACAACTCTTGCTTCTGCAATGGCAAGGAAAAGCCCCGGGGCTGGGTATATCCTCTGCCAGCCCCAGTGGCTGCACGCCTGGTAACAGCCCTTTGGAAGGGGATGGAGATGGAAATTTAAAGCAAACTTCTGCACGGAGGTCGGTGTTTACATTTGTTTGTGGTGCTCTTCCTATGAAGCAAGATTATATTCTTCTGCTTTGCTAGCTTTTAAGCCCTGTTGTGTATCTGGGGGGGGGGGATTTTAAGATGGGAATTGGAGGTGCTTGACCCTGCTCTGAGCAGGGAGGCTGGCTGGGATCAGCCTCCCATCTGAGTTGGCCTGTGAGCTCCCGTGCATGCACAGCAATCACTTTTCAAGTTCAATAGGCTTCAAATTTTCATTTAATGACAGGTATCAAGAAAGTATGGATGCCCCATGAATTTGTATTACCTACATATGAGAACATTAATCCATAACGATCTAAATCTCTGCTGCCATGGCCAACAGACCCACCACCAAGGCGAGGGGACACTTCCCCATACCTGCCCACGGGCTGGCATCAGCTCCTGTGGTGCTCCAACACGGCTGCGTGTCACCAGCATGTTCTTAATAACCACGCTAATGAAACAAAAGGATTAAGCCACAATTTTTTAAAAAATATAAATAAGCATCTGCCATCTCTGTTGGAGCCAGAGCTGGGACCCAGCCCACAGTCCTGCCCGCTGGGCTTGGGGTCCCCGGCTGAGCGCTCTGGGGTGTTTCACACGGGATGCAGGTACGTAATGCTCGAAGGTAGCAGCTGCAGGCAGGTTTCAGCCAAACACCTCTTTTTTTTTCTCTCAGAGAGCCAGTTTTTGGTACCGCCACTGAGGCAGCAGAGCCCCCTGAAGCTTCCCAGGTGGGGCCCCAGCCATTTGTGGTCCCACTGCGGCGATCTCAGTTTGCACCGAGCAGAGTTACCAAGTCACATCACTCCTCCTTAGCATTGTTCCAATGTCTCTTCCGTTGTTTCACTTAATTTCAGTTTCTGGATGCGCTCTTTGCTCAGTTTTGCTGCTTTTCCACTCACTGTGTGCCTGGGATTCCACGTTTTCCAGGCACCAAACACTCACTCTGCACGGTGACCCTGCCGCCCTTCCAGAGCAGCGCTCCACCGAGCTCTGAACACCAAACCCAGCCCAGTGCCCAAACACAGAGTCCATAAAGCCTCTGACAGAATCCTTCCCAGTGCCAGTGAGCTTCGTAAGGCATTTTACACTGTGCCACGGTGTCCGACACGCACAGGAAACACCCTCCCTCCCCACCTCTTTGACAAAGGTTCATCAAGGCTTCCCTCGAAACATTTCTGAGCGCGCTTGCGCCGAGAACTCCACAAGTCCCGCCACTCACAGGCTCCCACGTGCTTCTTTCGAACAGTCACGGGTTCCAAAGGGGCACGTGGAGGCCGGCCGCCCCCAGGGAAGCCCACCCGGGGCCTCTGTTCTGGCCAGGAGGAGGGGAGGAGGAGAGCCCTGGCGGGCCGCTCAGGCGCCCAGGGTCATGTTGCGCAGCAGCCACTGCTGGGATCGGCTCCCAGCGCACTCCCGCATGGTGGGCACCATCTTGTCCTCCTCCGACGGCTCGTCCAGACACTGGTTGCTGTTGACGTGCCTCAGGGTGAGCTTCTGCAACAGAGAAGAGCGAGAGCCTTCATTGTTTGCTCATTACTTCATTACTGATGGTGTGAGAGCACCATAACTACTGCTGAGAACGGATTTGTGCGCTGTGCGAGTCCTGCTCTAGGCACTACACAAGCCACGAGACGAGCACTCATCCCTGCCCCATCCCCGCTACCATTCACAAAGCTCTGAGACCCCTACGTGCCCCCCTGCTGCCCCGAGGGGAACCCCGCTCACCTTCTCTCGAGTGGTCAAGCCTGGGAGCTGAGTGCTGCTGCTGACCCCAGAAACAAATAAACGCAACAGAAAAGGTACAAAATTAAGTGCAAGTAAATACTAATTCAAAGCAACAGTGGTTTGGGTTAAAGGATTTAGGCTCCAACAACCCAAACATGCATGCATTTCAGGCCAGTGCAGAAATAATTGCTGATGGAAAACTAAAGCAAACTTAAATTTGCTTAGAATTATACTAACAGTAGCATACAGGTGAAAACATTTCCATTTTCAATATATTCATTTTTCTTTCGGACACCCGTCCCCTCTATTTATTTATTTAATTTCTTCTACATGGCACTATGTTTCTGGGCAATGGGAGAGGACAATAGGAAACAGAACATATTTGGCAGAAACAATGTTCTGCTCCAAAGCACTGGGAGGATGTACATGAAGAGTTCGAGGGAAGCTGAGCAGAAAGTTGTGGACTTCACCAAAACGGGGCAGGCACATTGGCAACCGAGGAGCTGGTGTTCTCTGCATCCCTGTTCTGGGGCTGATCTGGGGTTTTGCACACAAAATCCAAGTACCTCGGGCACCTTTGGCACGAAGGCATTTGGCAATGCCCCGTGTCATGCTGCCACCATAGGAATGGGAACACCACGTCCCCTGCTCCCCATGCTGGAGATCAGGGCACATCTCACAGCAGGGCTTCCCCAAGCACGCCCTGCATAGCCCAGCAGCTGCACGATGCACGCTCACCCACCGCCTGTCTTGCACACTCAGTATGGACTCAACACTTGTACAGCAACCATCTGTTTGCTTCTGCACCTTGTTCAGAAAACCAAGGTTGTGCCCTGTAAGGACGGTGCCCACAGCCATGCTCCCACCCTACCAGCGCCCCAGCTCGCACGGTGCCATCGGCAGCTCCACCTGTTATGGATATTCTGTCCCTAGCTCGTCCCCAGAGACTGGCTCCTCAGTTTAAAGCAAACTATTACACAGTTCTCCAAGAAAAGCCTACAGACACCATGAGAAATCATCGAGGGGCCGTTTGCCATGCACCCAGTGATGAATATACGGCATTCTGCTCTAATTACGAGGAAAGAATTAGCACTGCTAACCGAAGTAGCTTGTTTACTAAATAGCACTGCTCAAAGCATCACTGATTCTTCACTTATATTGTTTTAAGTGCAATTAAACTGCTATCATTTTCCACTATAACCAGAAACGCAAGCGAGGCTAAAAATGCTGCTGCTGCCTCCATCAGCTGTTCCCTTCTATTCAGCGCATAATTTCATGCTAGGCTACCATATCATTGGGACTTTCAACTGTCTCATATTTTTTTTTCCTTCTGTGTTCTATCATTATTCGTGCTATTACAAAAAAGGTCTCGTTTGCTTGGGAAACAATTAATTACTAGGCAGTATGGTACTCATAGAAGCCAGCCCTGAATTCTTATTTTACTCCACCATGAGGCCACAGGCATGGATTGCGGAGCTGGCTGTAGAGCCTGTTCAGATGCCCATAAGGAGAGCAACACGCACTCTGGTTTCAATGGGATGCTCTCAGACGTGGAGGCAGCATAGTTTGAGGTGAGAAAAGCAGCCCAACCTGCACTGTGAACCTGTGCTGTCCCACTGCGCCCCGTTATGATGTGTGGACATCAGCAAAACCACCCAGGAAAGCAAACCAGAGGCTGATATTTTGATTCCTCGACTCGTTCATGTTTTGGAATTGTCTGCTGATCAACGCTAGTATCTCTAGAAGAGGGTTACTTAAAATTGGGAATTTTCAAAATGAATAGTGTCTGAGAAATATCGTGCAGTTGGCATTATTTGTACGTCTTGGAATGGGGAAACCCATTGGAAACCCTCAGCTATCGCAAACAGTAACTATGATGGTCACACACACAGATCATGGAGATAGCTCAAGGCTGCTAAAATAATCTAAAAGCAGTTATAACTAATAACTAACACTAAATGTATACACTATTTTATATACACATACACATATCTCTGGAAACAAGAACAGAATTCAGTTGAATTAAATAGGCAGAAGATGGCAAAGCATTTTTCTGCAAATAGCTTAAATCATCAGACGTTGTACCTGCTTTACACGCTATACTTGGATGTATTTGCATTAGATGTTGTGTTTGGATACCAACCTCCAACGGGTTGTTAAAGGAAATAGTCAGTGGGGCTGTAGAAAATGTTTCTAAAGACTTCGAGCCTCGTGTAGTTCCTTAGCATCCAGGTTTGCAAGGGGCTCCCGTTGCAAGCCTCCACGGTGGGGCCGTGGGTGCCATCCTCTATCCTGCTGAGCGTCAGGCACGACTGGGTGATTATGTGCAGGAATGTGTGGGTCTGCGTGACAGAAAGGTGGCCAAGGTGAGCACAACCAGCAACACGAGGACAAGAGCAAGGGGGGCAGCAGCAGACTTTGGATGTCCGTAGCAGCGAAGCAGCTAAATCTAGAAGCAGCACTCACGGGGGGCTGACGGATGGTGACTGCCTGTGAACACTGCTGTCAAATGGCACTGCGAAAGCCCACGGGGCCAACTTCTGAATCCTGCCCCCAAACCTCTAATCCTAACTTTCCCTTCACATAAGAAGGCTGGGGCAGAGGTGATGTCTTGGGCTGGACCTCTCATTGAAACTATCTTCGCACGAACCACTCGCTTCAGTCTCTTTTTCTTTAGAAAGGGAGAAAGTAAAGCACATATAAAGAGGCCACTAAAAATATCAAGAGCAAATGTCCTTACAATGTCACTTTGAGTGACCCGCATGAACATCGATGCTTGTTTTCCCTTCATTTCATGTTATTGCTTCCTGCTCACTTCTGTCTACGATTTTTAAAGGAAAGCAGGGGTAAAGAAATTACTTCTAGAAGTGATGATCTCTCTATGTTGCATGTCTATATTACACTTAATGCCTAAATTTAGCAGGTTCTTCACACTGTGTATAATTAGTATTAAGCATTCCTTTGGCAATGTGACCAGACTGTTTGCTCCAGGTAGATGAGACAGCACTGTTAGCTTGGGTAATCAGGGTGAGCACTGACTGTGGAATATCTGCACTAATGGAAGTACGAGATCATTTGTCCACTCCTTCTCATTTTATTAAACACACCCTTCTAAGAAGGTAATAAAAAACCTGTGATGTCTTCCATACTCACTTTCAAGGAGCTGAGTAAGTCCTTTCACACTCTCTGTTAAGACTGCAGTTTCAAGGAAAATTTGAATTATTGGCCATGAGCTGCTGTGTTAGATACCAGTCTGACTACAGCAGCTCCAGCGGGTTGCATTTAAAAAGAGTCACAGGACCTGTACTTGGTTGGAAGATGCAGAACAGCAAATATTTCTGAGTTATTGGACTTGAACACTGGTTTTCCCTACAAACAGCAGCAGCCTGACACCGCAGACGACCCGCAGCCTAGCTAGAGAGGCGCGACACGAGCCGCTTGTAGGCAGCACTGCTGGAGGAGAGAGGCAGCGAGGCTCTACTCTAGGGTTTGGCACAGGGCTGCAGCTGTTTCCAAACTTACCTCAAAGCTATATTCCCATTTACCAGCATACTGACAGACAGGGGAAAAAAAAAAAGGGAAATTGGATTCAGTGACTCAAGACACGTTTTTTGCGAAGACCTTCATCTTTCAGGGAATGCAAATTCAACAGCTTTGCGCAGATGTCATGTTTAGTGACAAATATAACAGCAATTATGCAAGATTGAATCCTGACATCATTATTCATGTGAGAAGAAATGAAAGTATTTTCTATCAGATGGGACTTTTTTTTTTTTCTCCCCTAAGAGCATTTGCATATGTTATATGTCACAAGCGTTCACCATGCTGCACAGACTAAAATCGGCCTGGATGTCGCGGGGAGACACCGCAGGACTCCCCAGTCCCGTGAGCACAGACACAGCTGTACTCTGCAGGGCTTTCCACCTCCCACACCTTCTACTCGTCTCCCATCCCAAAGCAAGGATCACTTACGCATTACAAATACGTTATAAAACACACGCTGATGGGAAGCCTTTGAAAGCTAAGAAATTCCAACTTGACACATCCCATTGATGGAGCTGATTTATACAGCCGCCCTGGCAATGAAATAGGCAGCTTGAAAAAGGGCCAGGAATTGTAATGGGCTGTTGAAGAAGCAGGAAATGAAAGCATTAAAAATCAATAATAGAAGGCAATGGATTTAAAAAAAAAAAAAAAAAATCAAACAAATGAATTTCCTGCCAAGATGTAAACACGTTCACAAAAAAAAAAAAAAAAAAAAAAGAAAAATCTCTGCAGTTTAAAAACGCTGTGAACTACTCTTGCTTGAAACGTTCAGAGCCAGTTTGCAGGAGAAATGAGGCAGCTCCTGCCCTGTACGGGGTTCGTGCAGGGAAGCTCACTGCTACCCAGGGCACCTGGTGTCCTCAGCAAGACTTCCCTTACATCCCACCTGCATCCACTACTGGGCTGTGCATAAAAGGACTCCTTAGACTACACCAATATTAGTATATTGGAGTATATGGACTCTCCGTTTGTCTCCTACAGGTAATTCCTAAAGTAATCTTCCCTGTTGAATTAAGCTGAGCGAAAAGGGCCTTGAAGAAAGAAGCAATAGGAAAACAGGGCCAGGCAACCCTGTGAGACCTGCAGGGCCAGGCCTGCAGCCCCTCCACCCGAAAACAAAACAAAAAAACAAAAAATAAACAACAACAACAAAAAAATCCACGTCTGGATTGAAAACTATTTTGTTTCAGCACGGATTTCCTTTTTTTTTATATATATATTGAATAAAAAATAATGTTTTATTTATAGTGATTCCTTTAATTTTGGGCTTTGCAAAGAAAATCAGGTTGCCTTTTAAGCTTGGTTCAAAATAGTTTATAGCTTCACCTGACACCCAGACCACATATTGCTGTGCTCCCACCACTCACTGTACCTTGGTCCTTCCCACAGCTATGAGCCACTCACCCAAAATCTTCACTGATGCTGTGATTCAAGCATCATTCGCACTAAGAAGCTCAATTCTCTCAGTGTTCCTTTAGGTTTTTGATCTGGACCATACGTGCTTCTGCATTCCCACTCTCCTTTTGGAGACTATTAAGCAGAAAGCTCATAAAACTAATTTTTAATTTTTTTTTTGCTTGTTTGTTTTTGAGAAAAACACAAGAATAGTTCAGCTCTTTGACCTTTCATCTAGCTATATGACGTGGTGGTAATCCCTGCTAACACCACCTTAAACGTGTGCTCTCTCCAAGGTGAGAGCTGTCGGTTGGGAACCACGATGCTCCCCTCCCAGCTAGGTAACCTACCCATCTTTTTGATTTTTAAAACCATGCCTTTCTCTTCAATGACCTTTTTGCAGGGACATCCTGTGGCCATCTGCCAGCATTTAGTACCTCCTCAATCACAATTACTTTTGCTTAATCAAAACATATCTAAAAGCAGTAGTCTTTTTTTTTTTCCCAAATGACATCCAATCCTGCATTATTTATATAAGCCATAAAGACACCGCTGTAATTATAACTCTTTAAGACATAATGCAATGCTTTCTGTTTGTTCCCATTTGATTGTTTCCCTGAAATGCAGCAATCAGATGAGTTAGAGCTGATAATACACGACAAGATACTGATAATGCTTCATCGTGATCTTCTGTACCATCAAAATACAATTTACAGGGGCAGCCTTTTTTTGAAGTTATCAGACACTTCTGAAAACCTCGCTGCCTCCCCATCTGTGCTGCTCAATGACTCATTCCCAAGAGCAGATCTCCTGAACTCTTCCTTCAGACTCCTTACACTTCTGAACATTTCAATTCTCCTTCAGTCCCTTTGGGATCTCTCTCCTTGTGCTTTCACTTCTTGCTGCCTGCTGCACTGGAAAAGCTCAGGGTGAATCCTGCACCCATGAAATCAAAGGCGCAGGGATGATGTAGGGGTCAGCAGCGAATTTCTGTCCTCTCTGCCAGCGTACCTCGATTCTCACCCCAAATACTGGGGGTCTTGTCCTCTCTTTCAGCAAGTCCGCATTAAAATGTACAGATTATTTAAGTTTTAAAAGCACTTTGCACAAATGTGGATACTTTTGGTGTCCAAATGAGAGAAGGGGCTTTCTGAATAGTTTGCTTCAAGCTAAATCTGAAAGCTTCACAAATGCATAGGAAATGTTTGAGATTTCCCGTTCTTATCACCATCATTAAATCTTCTTGGTTCTTTGTTTATTTTTGAAAAAGTACAACTGCAAGGCATAGCTAAGGGAAACAGCATTACTGAGCTACAAATAAATACATGGAAAAGCCTTACTTCTCATGATTTATATATAGATATATATTTAAATACCACAGTTTAAAATAAACCAGAACATTATGATGCAAAAATTAATAACAGTATGTAAATCAAACAGTATGTAAATTAAAAAATAAATAAATCAGAAATGCCTCCTTTTAATGACTATTTGTGTCTCACAGTACTTCCAGCAAGTCCTGACTCCTGCATGCCTTTAGCAGGAGGAGGGATCCCCACTGCCTGCACCCATGGTGCAACACCCAGAAATCATCTCAGTTCAACTCCTGAGTACACAAATGTCAAAATGAGTGCGATTTGGCTGGAAAAGTGAATGGATACCAGCGATCAGGCAGTGTGGTGTTTCCCTGTTTCCATACATAATGCAATCCTAATGCAGCCCCAGCCAGGGGCTCCGCAGAGCCAGCCCCGAGCCCCCTCCCCAGGCTCACTTCTGTCCGTGGTCCCTGTGCCTTGCCACCACCACCCAGCATCTGTCCGTGCACCGACACGTGCAAGCAGCTCCGACATCGCAGGGAAAGCTTGCAAGCTGAGCCTGAATGTTGGCAGGGTAAAATTATGTGTTAGCTGAACTATTCCTGGAAGCAAATAGGAAGGCACGCAGTGCAGCGGGCTGCGGGTTATACCCAGGAGAGGCAGCGAAGCAGCTGCCTCTGAGATACCTTACGTAAGATCTGAGCACAAAACTCAGCGTATTTCTTTTTTATGAGCTCCATCTAACGGTCGATGTCGTTTTTACACAGCTACAGAGAAATTTTCCACTGAGGGTCTGTAATATTAAACTAAGAGAGGAAGATAGCAAGTTCCCAGAGTGAAAAAGTACAGGAGAGCAAAATGGGTTGAAAGAAATCCATCTTTTCCTACAGAACAATGAAAGCAGCTGTTTCTGAGAAATGTTGCAAATAGTTCTTAAAAGACCATATGGACTTAAAGGCAGTATCGTTCTAGCTGTGCAGGATTTTCTAGCTCTGCTGTCATGGAATTCAGCCAAAACGAAGTTGGTATTTTTATAAGCTCAGAACAGCAGAGCTGCCTAACTGCGGGCATCGGGCGGCCAGCGCTAAAACTGCTCACTGTGGAAATCCATTTTGTGTAGTTTGTGCCCTAAATACCCAAAGAAAAGCAACTGGCAGTACAGTTCCTTCTCAGGAGAGATTGCTGTCTGTGCTGGTGGTAGTGGAAGGAGCTTTTTGTGAGAAACCTTGTCCTGGGCTTTGGAGCATCCATCGACCAGTGCCCTGTACCTGCAGAAGTTGGTGGACGTGGTGCATGAGCACTCCCTGGGACCGTGGATCCTGGCCGAGGGCTGGCACACAGCTTGCCTCCCATGCTGCGCCAGGGGACCTGGCCTCACTTAGCTCAAGCACGTAAACAGCAATATTCAAAAAAAGCCAAAAATTCAGTGTTTGTGCAACATTCCAAATTCATCCTTTAAGGTTTTTCTGAGATAAACTTGAAACAGGCCAACTGAATAGTCTGATAACCTGGTATTTTAGGGTGACTGACGCTGTTACTCTGGAAAAGAGAGACCCATGCCCACCACTGGGATCCTGCTGTGCTACAGGCAGGAGTGAATTCTTGTGCTGGGTGTCAGCACGAGACCCAGCCCAAGCCTTCCTCGCTTCCCTTTAAAGCGATCTAGCACTGGGCAAAAATCCACCACCATCTGCTGACAGGAATAAAACGAAGGAAGTTACATGATCTTAAATCCCCAGTGTTAATTGCTGGCATGAACAACCTCAAAAACACTTACAATTACCAAAATAGTCACGCATTTTGTGTAAGAAGAAAAATCGTCTTCTTTACTGAAGAGAAGATTGGCTTAAATTCAGCTGTTAAAATCAAGAATGTCTCAAACCTTAGAAAGCACATTGCACCTCGGGGATAACCAGCATTGTCATTTCGCTACTTGGCAGTTCAGGGTTATGCAACAGCAGGCCTGTGTGTTTTTTTCCTTAATATAATATGTTAGAAAGGTCCTATCCGGAAAAAAATGCTAATACCTTTGTGTGAGCCTCACTGTGCAGAACTCACATTCACGTTTTAAAGCAAAAACTTGAAATTAATTTGTTTTCATTTGATGTTTTCTGTTGCACTTAAAAATAATTAATTCCACTGTCAAATACTCAGATGCTTGCATGTATTTTCTATTAATTTTGCAATTTCTCCATAAGTCACCAAATTTCTACCACCTGCTCTACCTTTCAAAACCCAGAGAAAGCCACGTCCCATCCCACTGCAGTGCCCAGCTAAACAGGCAGCTGGTACACAGAAAATGATTAAACAACTTAAAAATCCAGAGTCAAAAATCTTCAAGTGATAGAAGAAACACACTTGAGAAACTGTAACTTAGGAAAAAAAAATCTTGCTTTCTAGTTCATTTATATTAAAAAAAAAAATTTAAAAAAAATGGTTCTTACATGTTTCTTTAATTTTATTAGATGCATAGCAGTGGCAGCTACTAGAAAGGAGCTTCCTAAAGCAGTGAGTAGTTTGACCTTCCCACCCCTCTGAAGATAAATGTTGTGGAAATATGTGAACACCAGTCAGGCAACAGCGTTATTTTGTACTCCTGAGTTTGCCCTACTGCGGGAGATCCCAGGGGCACAGGGACAAATCGAGTTTTCCTGTGAAAAACCCAGGCGGCCCCAGCCCCGCAGCCCCGGTACCTCGGCGTCGTACTCCCAGAGCTGGTTCCCCCGCATGTGGTGGCACTTGAGCATGGTGACCGGGCCGTTCAGCCGCGACACGTCCAAGCACAAGTCGTCCGTGCGAATCTCCTTGTCAGCCGTGTAGGAAAATACCTGGAAAGAGGAATTGTCTGAGGTGACAAAGCATCAGCAAAACACGGTCCTAAATAATTGCTGGTTTGTAATATGCAAAATTTCTACTCCGGTGAAGAAAAATGACTTTCTTCTCCCAACACTGAGGTGGTGTCTTGCATTTCCTAAGAGTTTCATGCAAGGTTCTCTAATGGTGAGTCTGTCATACATAAGAAAAGGAGTATCGTGTTTAGGAAAAGAAATTTGATGAGATTTAAAGACAACAACCACTCGGCCTCCTGGGGAGATGCAGAGGAGAAACAGAGCTAAGACTTCATCAGAGAAGTTTTCAGCAGGATGCAATTGTGAGCGTGGCTTATGTCACAGCTCTGCTGGCCAGCAGACCCCAACATCTGGAGAATCGGAGCCTGCTCAAACTAAATGCTCCTCCTAGCACTGACCTGAACTTTCGGTACCAAGGGTTATCTGTGTTAAAGACCGATGTGCATGAGTATTTCAGAAATACCAGATCTCTTAATAAAACCAGGAAATAAATGAAGGCATGAGAGAACCATCTGTAGGACCGCCAGTATTTACATTGAATTGCACGGCCTGCACACACTCAGCATCTCTGTGCTCCCAACCCACTGCTCAAAACCACCACACTGCTGGCTGCCACGGCACAAAAACTTCAAAAAATCCTTTTATTTGCAAAAAAGCAAATTATCTTTCCCTGTTCCACGTCCTCAGCACCAGGAGACCAGGGAGCAGAGTCTCAGCCCCCCCATTACAAACTGCCTCCAGCACCTCAGCACCACTGCAGCATCTCTGCACCTAAACAAGCAGAGAAATAGGAGAGAGTCTGCAGCTGATCAGACTGATAAATACCACGACAAATAGTAAAATTATGATGTCCCATTCAGGTTCTGATGAGTATAAACCTGTATGGAAACATACAGCTGAGAAACAGCGTTGTCAGCACCATGTAAAATGCTCACGTACACAGCAATGCTTCAATTAAGAGAGGTAAAAGACAGCTGAATACAACATCTGCACATACACAATTCCTTGCAATTTCACTGTTTCTGTAAAATCTATTCCTCTCGCAAAAGGCCTGCAGACTAATTAAAAGAGCCAAGGCTGAACTCTGAACCACAAGCACTGCAGTGCCCCAGGGAGTGTCTATCCATTGAGACTTTCAGTGAAAAAAATTAATTGTACTCGAGAACTAAGAATCAATCAGGCAGCAAATGACAACCTCAGCGCAGGAAGCTGAGGGCGGAGGATTCCGAGTCACTTGGAAACGTGGCACTTGGCAGTGGTGGGCCAGTGAAGGTAATTCTCCCTAAATCACCTGTAGAATTTATCTACTGCATAAAGCAGCCAAGGGAATAGAGGCGAGTATTTTGAAGCTGGAGGTTCAGATAAATCATTTAGATCACGGAATACGAAACAAGCATGCAAAGAAAGCTGCGGAGCTGTCGGCTCACAGCAGCAAGACAAAGGTGGGAAAGCAACAGGCTGCTAGGATCAGCCGTCTTTCCATTTTTTATTATTTCTTATTCACGACTCACCAGCGACTTGTCTGGACGAAAATCTAGGATCCACAGGTACAGTAAAGTACCAGCTGCCTTTTGCATTTATTCACCCAGCGATAAATCACTGACATCAAACCTGAGGTTCTCAAAGTGTTGCTTTCACTTAAAAACACGTTAGACACAGGCCAGTACTCAGACAGGCTTTTCTCAAGGGGGAAGAGATTTTTAAATACCAAGCTATGAGTGCTCTGCTGAGATCATAATCTGAAGCACAGCATCTTTTGGAAGGAGGTGAGCTGGGTCTACATCAGAAATGCCAGTTAGTGTTCAAACATGTTAGTGTTTAAATACACATTGCCCTTCCCTCCATTTTCTGTCTACAAAAGCAATTCCATGGCCTTTAAAAATATCATATCACTTCTCCTCTATTTTGCAAACATCAGCTTTGTCAGTGCTTGCCGATGTGCTGAGAGCTAACTACATGTACCACACATCTCATTTTTTTACCTCCCAGAAGTATTTAGGAAAGAAAACTTGGAGCTGAGGGCCAACCAAGGAAGAGACACGAGTATCATTTTGAAAAGGTTTCTTTGAAAGAGGTACAAGAGCAGTCCATGTTCAGGACCAACAGCAACACCTGAAGGTTGGGGAAAGAAATACTTATCTGTTCGTGAACTTCCCATTTACACCGTCACCTGAAAATTCTTCTCAGAATAAAACACAGTAACAGCAAAAGCAACTTTCCTCAATCATTCTTCATGACCTCAGAAACTCCACCTTCAGTCCATTGTTTTGAATTATTATTATTTTCTGAATAACAAGCACAGAAGTCAAGAAATGGTAATTTGAGATAAATTAACAAGTAACCTAAGTTAGGACAAAAATGCTCCTATTAATCTGCAATATCTGCATCTATTGAAAAATATATACCTGTATGTTGGGAGAGAGATGTATCCCCCCTAGACATAGTTAGTTCATTTCTAAGTAAAACATTCCCTGCTTTTCCCGTGGTGCTACTCCTACTAAATGCAGCACTCAGCATTCAGCTCCAATCTGTCACATCCTTACAAATAATCCTTGGTCAAAACTGGCCCAGGACCAGGCTGGGCAGAGAAACACGTCATGTAGTTTAAATATTGAAGGTCTGGGTTAAAGCAACCATTAATCGAAGGCAGCTGTTCAGCTCCCATGTTACCATAACCAATATCCAACACAAGAAGCATTTTGGGGGGCTTTGTTCGTTCTTTTAAGCACTTTCAACCAAAAACCTTACTCAATGGTAAAATGCCAGAATTATTTGCTTGCTGTCGTGTTCTAAGGGGAACAAAAAAAAAAGGCCAAGTTTTCTATTAATCTGAAAATCATTGATAACATTTGCAGCACAAAGTATTTTTCAGTTGAAATAGCAGAATTTGGTCGCAGGAATCTCTCATGTACTTCCACGCACACACTGTGCAGATAGTTTATCTTTTACCATGCTAATTATTAAGAGATTTATCCAGCAGCATTTATCCTGAAGCAACTTCTACTTTGATTTTCAACTTATTTGTGCTGTGTTTTTATACAGTAAACATATTTGCATCAGACACTTTCTTCTAGCCTCAGAGCCATAGCAGATGTTTTCTTCTGTGCTTTATGGAAAGCAAATACTTGGATTTTGTAATGTATTTCCATTTGCCTCTTTCTTTTTCCTCTCTTCTTTGATAATTGCAATACACTGCTCCATTATATCTTTTGAAAGTATAAGCGATGTCTGAATTAACAATTACAGAAGATGGATTTGCAAAACACGCAGTCTTCAGAAAGAAAAATGAATGCTAATTAAGACAATGTAAAATTATCAGGCCACCATTTTACTAACATCCATATTAATTATAGATATAATTATATTAATGCCACCGTGCAAAAATAGCGGCTGAGGAACAATACGCCGCATCTTACCGCTAATTAAATAGTGTATTTCACACAACACTTTGCAGGGTGAGACAGGAGAGCCCCTTGCCATGAGCCCAGCTTTCCATGGAGGTGCCGCGGGCGTGCAGGCCAGCCCATCCTCTGGAGGCTTTGGGACTGGATGGGTCCGGCCCTATTTTAATTCCAGATGATGTAAGCAGCAGGCTTTAGTCTTTGGTACCTTAAAGGCACCTGATATCTGAACAACCACCAAACCAACCTGCCCAGGCAGCGTGTCCCACCAGGGAGGTATAAACCTAACCTACAGATGCTGTCTGCATGCGTGCCCGGCTCAGGGCACCAGAACAGCTCGCTGCTGTCTGTGGGGCTGCTCCTACGCTTGGAAGCAGTGACAACTTTTATCCCTAAAAAGCATGCTAGGTGATGATCCTCGGTGGCATGAAAGCAACTCGTCTCGTCCCACAGACAGTCACCTGCAGCAGTTGGTGGCATCAATGCTGCCAAGCCAGAATCGCCTTGCTCGCGTGGGAAAGCTCATACAAAAATTATTCCGCTGCTCCCTCTGCCTCCAGCCACCACTGCCAAGAATTCATTTATCCTGGTGCTCGGGCCCACAGACCAAGACAACACTGTAATTACCACCAGCTATCATAGCCTGAAATCAGTACTTGCAGCTCCATTAAATGGTCCGGGCACGAAAGAATGAACAAAATCGCAGAAAAGAGAGCTGGCTGCCAGCGCCTGCTGGAGACAGGGACAGCCACAGCGGAGCTGTGCCGCAGGAAACAGCTTCCCAGGTTGCTAAGGAACTGCCTTTTTGTCACATTCAGAAGATGGCACTGGGAAAACACACGTGGAGTCACCCCTTTGTGCGAGCGGCAAACACAGCTTCCCCATACCCAGCCCTTTGTCCTCCACCAGGGAATCTTTTGTCCTTCCCTAACCGCTGTTACTGCACGGGGGTTTCAAGTGCATTCAGCAGTTGGCACAAAAACCGCAACAAAAGCTGACTTTTGGCTCCACGGGGGTGGCAGGGCTGTGGCTGGCTTGTTTGCTTTGTTGGCCTGGTTTTGTTTCTCAGGCTGCTGTCACTTCGTAATGGATGGCTCCCTACACATCCGAACACAAGCTGTTAGTGCAAAGCATTTCTCAAAGCCTTTCTGAGGCATCTCTCCCCCTTCCTCCCAAGCAGCATCCCCCCGAATTCCCGCTTCCTCGCAGGTACAGCCAGCGCTCCTCCTGCACCTTTGCTACCCAGGCTTCACTGCTGCGATTTATACATCCAGTACTAGTTTTCCTCCATTCCCTGGGGACTATTTCTGCCAATTTAAAGAAGAAGCAATTCAGTTTTCACGTAGACTCTAAAAATAAGTCACTATTCTCATTCTGACTGCGTTAAACAAAAGCTGCTGTTATTTAACAGCCAGGCACTGCTCCTTTGTTCCCTGTTAATCATAGTTATTATGATTGTGCTGGAGATCACCGAGCGCTCCGCTGTGCTGCACCCTGAGCAAATCCAGAGTGTCAGACAGTTCCTGCCCAGAGGTCTATAGCATCAGTACATAAGAATGATGTAAAGTCTGCAAGGGAAATCATCTATCAGCAAAACGGACTAGCCAAATATCAGAAATAATTAGTTTTGCTCATGATGGTTTTGTTCAGAGGACGAGAAGCTACACACAGATCAAAATCGGGGAAAACAGGGGATTGCCAAAGGTGAGAAAGGCAGGAAAAGCCAAGAAGGGCTGGCTGAGCTACCTCCCGGTAACCATTTAAGAAACCTAGCATTTATTTAAGGTATTAAGTAAAATCAAAGCACTGCACTTGTGAAACCTCTACCGGGCGCTGTGTTTACGCATGCAGCGCTCCCTGCACGGCCAGGCTGCAGGTGGCCGGTTGGGGACCAGCTGCAGAGCACTGCCAGCAGCACCAAGGCTCGGTACTTTGCTCGGTTTTACTCACGCCCGGAGTGCTGTTATGGCTGCAGCCACTGATAAATTATCCAACTAAAAAGGTGAAGTTTTCGTGTTTTCCATGGCCAAAGCAGGAGCTTTCACCACAAGGCTTACGCTCAGGGTTTGAGGTGCCCCTGCCTGCCAGGCACAAACATCTCTGTGTGATGTCCTCGAGAGGGAGGACTGTTGTGTATGGGGAGCCCCCCGATACAGGCAGCTCACACATTTCTACCTGTTCTCAGCAACAAGCAACCTACCATAGCATACAAATAAATTATCCCAGAGGGAGATTTTATAAAAACTTTCTAGATACTGCTACACAAAGTGCTAAATTATCCCAGAGGGAGATTTTATAAAAACTTTCTAGATACTGCTACACAAAGTGCTCACGTTTGAGAGGCGTTGAAAATACCTACGTTTATTGTGAATAGGGAAAAATGAAAAATCTGTGATAAAGAACAGTTTCTGAAAGACTTATTAAGTAGAGCTAACTGGGGGAAAAACACCTCTAACAAGTGTGGGCTTTTGTCTTTTGTTTTTTTTTAATTGTCAGTGAGTACTGAGCCTGAACTTTCTGTACCAGAAGGGAGCGGTGCTGGCCTTGCCTGCTTACTAAACCCTATAAAACACCACGCAGCTGCCCCAGGCACGGTACCACTGAGCAAACCCCCGGTGGCTGCAATTCCCCACTCACTCGAAATAGTTCCCGACAAAATGCTCCCCCCATTTGCACGGAAAATGGCAAAAATCCCCCAGACCATCACTTCGGTGGGGCTCTGGCTGATGTGAAGCTTCTCGTTAAGGGAAATGCAGGACGATGGGGACCTGTTTGTAGCTTTGTCTGTTCTTCAGAATGGTGCCACAGCCCCTCGCTGCCCAGCACAGCCCTGATGCACACAGAGGAACCTGCAGGGAAACCCATGTAGGAACCTGCATGGAAACCCGTGTGGGAACCCACGTGGAAACCCATGTGGGTGCCCTGGGACATGCGGGATGGCTGCTGTGCTCAGCACCCCGAAAAACATCCCCGGGAGGAGATGCCATTGCCATGGCAACGCAGCAAAAGCCTAACCATCGCCCCGTCGGGATGATTGCAGGCAGGAAAAACAGGAGCCTGCTTTGCCCAGTGCCAGGCCAGTGAAGGGAATGAATTTCCTCTAAAACGCCACGAAGCCAGCAGCTCACCGTGCTGGGAGAGCGATGCCTCGATGCCCAAACCTCCTATTCTTGCCATTAAAGCCCTGTCCCCGCTGCAGCTGATTTGAAGGCATTTTGATCTTGAGGACATTTGCATTTATTTTCCACATAAAGCAAAGAAAACAGTTCTAAGATCACATTTTGCTGCATTAGGTTTGCAGTATTTATTCTGGGGACTGTCAGTACTCCTAACTCAGCCGTGACCCGGTGACTGGAATATGGCCATCAGAAATGCCCATGCCAACACAACGAGGAATCCTCCACAGCTCTGTAATCTCAAAACAATTCCTAAATGAGGGGCCTCACTCAATGTACACCATTTTTCTTCATTTTTTTTTTAAAGAAATTCATAGTTTTAGAATCTTATTATCCTCAAGTCCTTTAAACCACTTTGGGAGCCATGAGATATTTGCCTGTGCCTCCAGCTGGATAGCACACATGCATCTTGCTCGGCTCTAACGAGCTAGGTATTATTTTTGCTTCATTTTCATTCTGAAGGAGTTTTGTTCCTCAGCTATTTTCGTAACCGTACAGCCCCCCCGCCCCCAGCATTTACATGACTTAGCTCAGCTCTAATTTCTCATTATAACAGAAGTTAATAGAGATAACTTTTAATGGGAGTTGTGTGTGAGCTCTAACGCATGAATAATGTTCCTCATGTAGGTCAGACACTCCTCGCAAAACCTCCACCAGATCACAGATAGTGCTCCTTGTTCACACAAATGCAGGGGAAGTGTCCCTGTGTCCCCTCAGCAGGTGTACACAGCCCATTTACCTGCGGATTTTGGTTGATGTGAGAAGTATAAAGGAGACTGGATCCATTTTTTCTTTTTTTTTTTTTTTTGGCGATTTGAGATATATTGGCATAGGAAGGCTCAGAAAGAAGAGTTTGGTTTACCATTGGTTAGGGATTCTTTAGGGTCTGCACTCTAAATAAGAGGAATAAATTCAATGTCTTCACTCAGATACTTCTCTGGACCTACAAATGCAGGACCAATGGACGTGAACCAGTACGTGTTCCAAATGGGCAGCTGTTACTTGAAACAGTGGCTTCCCTGAGTATTTTAAAGCTTTTAAGAAGCTCAAAATCTCAGAAAGTTTGGAACTTCCATCAATACATTTGCTAATTGCTGCAGTTCCTTTTTGTAGTGATGCAGCACAGCCACCTCTGCGCTGCGCTGCCCGAGGGCCCACGTGTCTCCAGCACGAACACATCACAGGCACCCAGCACAAACCCCCTGCCTGGAGCAAGATGCATGGAAACTTGTTTCTGCAGAGGGAAAGGAACGCTGACAGGTAAAACTGCAGCTCCTGCATTACTCCAGAAGAATTCTAACCATTTTTTCCTTTTTTTTTTTTTTTTAAACTATTTTGCCCATGGTTACACAGCAGCAGATTGAAGCATTTACTGTACAAAAAATATTTTTTTAACATTTATTTTTTATTTCTTTTTTACCTGATTGCCTCCCATGCCATGGCAGTTGAAGATGCCCACTTTCTCATTTTCCTTGCGGCCCATGTTGTCTAAGCACTGGTTGGTGTCAACATTCCTGATCTGAAGAAAAAAAGAGAAGAAACGTTCTGTAAAAAAGTATGTCTCTAAATGCCGTATTTGCAGAGAAAAAATTACATAACTGTGAGCTGCAGGAAAAAGTACATTATCTATGCATTCAGCTAAATGAATGCATTTCAACTTGCAATTGGTAAATATGTCACACTCCCGAAAGAATATGAAATAATTACAAAAAGCATAATGAGTTTTTAAATTACATATTAAGTGAGAGGATGAACGGCATTCAAGCCGAATCTCACCCAGTGCCCTGTGCTGTTTTGTTAACAGATGAAATACGCTTAGCAATGGAAAAGCGGTGATCTTCTTGCTAATGGGAGGAAGGTCAAGATACATCTTGGGCCTCGGTGCTTTGGCAAAACTGGTGTGAACCGTACTCTGAAACTACGCGATTGATTGGAATAATTGGACATTATCCCAATCCTGACCAGTGGGTAAATGAGGGAACTACCCAAACTCCATCTTTGTCCTGGGAAAAAATGTTTGTTTCACATCTTACAGAGCTACTTCAATTTTCTCCAACTCATTTCCATGAAAAGCTGCAGTCAAGCCTCTTTTTCTTAAATCACTTTTTTGTCGAAATAGACAGTCAAGTGTTTTCATGAGAAAGGTAATTTTTTTTGCAATCCCTTGATTCATTAAAACAGAGGGCTAAAATGAAAAGTGACTTGAAAACCCCTCCATGATTATCATGTCTCAGCTTTACAAAATTATTGTCTTGCATTTACATTCTATTCCCTTACAACGTGATACGAGTAAAATACAAAAAAAGCGTATTCAGCATTCACCACATTTTGCCAAAAGCTTATGCCCTGTCTGAGGCAGATTTTTGTTCATCTAGGAAACTCAGATCTAGCACAGTAACTGCGTATGGGTTCTGTTCTAACTGAAGGGAAAATTTAGTTGCAGAGGAAGACCTGGCAGTCTGCAGGATCTGCCTGGCAAGTCTCCGATGAAAAAGCTGCACCAGCCACCGAAGAACTTCAGCCCCGTACAGCTCCACACGGGAAATTTCATTTTAAAATTGTGCACTTAGTTTATAAAAGCAACACTCATATTTCAATTCACTGCTGGGAGAGAGGAAAAGTACTCTGAGAATACACCTCAGATGTTTTTAAAATTCTCCATTACTGCTGATTAGGGGACTGGAGTTTTAGGTGTAAAAATCCACTTTCCTGCTCAACTGGCAGGCGGCGGCTGCAATAGTCGAGCATGAGTTTTAATTCATAGATCCTGCCTGAACGCCTGTTTCCATAGAAACTGAGGCTGTGTTGTTAAAAATAAGGTGTTTTAATAACTATTGTATTACTTCCTCATACTTTTATTTTCCAGTCTGACAATATTGTACAAATCCGTATTATTTGACACTTGTTAGATGAGTTCTTTCCTTGCTGTAAACCCATGTTTCACTTTATTTTGTCATAGTTAAACTCAAAACCCTACTGCGGCTTTTATTTTTCACTACAATTGCAAGTTTCAATAGCAAATTACTTTCCTGGATGCAATAAAGCCATTTGCTCCTTTGATTGCTATTCTATCAGTAGCTACCTTTAAATCAAAGCATTCAAGAGCTTTCAGAAGTCAGCTTAGATACAACTCAATAGAATATTTTTAACAGCAAATTATCTGAATTTTAAAGAGCCTTTGGTTCTTGGTAGTACTCAAATCATCAGATTATTAGCAATGTCTGTGATATTCAGCTCCAGGCAGCCTCGACAGAAAACACTATCAATGAACAAACACATTTCAATTAAAAAAAAAAAAAAAAAAAAAAAAAAGAAAAAGGGGGCAAAAAGAAGCTTACTTTCTATTCTACATATACGTGATAAATGATGATGGAAAGCTTTTTCAACCATTCCACATTATTTAATCATTTGAAAATATCCATCACAAACCCAGTTTTTCCGATACACAGCTCAATTTAAAAGATGGATTTTTAATGGTGAACACTTTCATAACAGCAATACCCCTTAAAAAAGATTTAGCATATATATAATCTGCTCAAAATAAAAGGTGAATAAGACCCAGAGAATGCACACAAGCATTTTATTCCTTTCTCCAAAGCCACTTCACCTTCCCAGTGGTTCCGCAATGTGCACAGTGCGCTTACTGCTTAATTCAGCATAATAAATGAGCGATTCCTACCTCGCCGAGAGAGTAATAGCGCCTCGGGATCTGCGAGTCGGGGTAGATGTTTTCCAAGTACCACGAAAAGGGTTTACACTTCAGGTTTTCTCTCAGCGCTTTTCTGACCGACACATCGCCATAATCCACCTTAACAACACCTGAAATTGTTAAGAGACGTGATCAAAGCGCGGTTCCTGCAAAGCTACAAAGAAGGCATCACTGATTTTTTTTTTATTTTTTTTTTAAATCCTTCTTAGCAAGGGCCATTTGCTGAAATTATAACACATCGTCGGGTGAATACATGCACTGCTGCTACACCATAGATATTTACAAGCATTAAAAAATTAATTTAGCAAGATTGAAACTCTTGAAAAAAAATACATATTTCTTTTTCTGATAGAAGCCAAGACCACTGAATTCCTTGATTCCTTTGTCTCCCAAGACATTCATCATTCAGGACCAAAGTTCAATTGTACGTAATCCAAGAATTTCAGACCAAATAGTGATTAATTCAAGATCCCCCTTTAAAAAATGCTGTACAGTGTTTGCCCACTTTGATGCTCACAGAAAGAAAACCCCGTCCATGAACACCTTCACCCCCGTGGTCCCATAGCACACTGCCTGGACTTTTCCAGCTCTGTCTCCCGGGACCCTGCTGCTCCCTCCTGCAAGGTGCTGTGCCCCAGTAACAAACTGGGATCCCCGGTACGTTCCTAGCACCCATCTCCGGGTGCCAGACCCGAGCCTGGCAGCATCCTGCTGTCACCAGCAAGGGGTGATGTGAGGGCCACCCGTAGGAAACGTGGGGCACAGAGGGAGAAATCGTAGCAGATGAGTCAGGGAGGGGGGGAAATCAGCTGGGAAGCCCTCGGGGAGGCTGCAGTCTGCGTCCTAATTCAGAGCATATGGATTAGCAGCACATACGGTGCCGCTGAGACGGCAGCCAGACAAGGCACGTACTTACCTGCTGCTGTGTGTGTGCCCAGGGAAGTGGAAATGCACATGGGAGCACACAGGCAGGGCTGCACACCCCAGACACTGGAGATGGCAGGAACGAGGCCAGAAATGGCCACATCGGACACAAACACCCCCCTCTGACAGCCCGTGTGCACCAGCACTGCCCACAGCACTCGCAGCCCGCAGCGAGCCAGCTCAGTGCCATGCCTTTCCTACAGCTCCTTGAAATAGGGACTGATTAGAAATAGGAAAATTCAAAATAGGAAAATAGAAAATTAGAAATAGGCTAGAAACTCATGACGTGGAGATGAAACCTATCAGGTGTACCCGTTCAGTGCCAAAGAAAGGCAAACAATATACTCGGCTTCTTAACACTTTCTAGGTAGGATGCATGGCAAGCAAATACCGCTGCCATTCCCACCCTATTTGCAGGTTTGTGTATGTGACTCTCAGAGGTTAACATACAAGCGAACCAGCAGCCTGCAACACTCCCCTCAAGACCAACACGCTCCAGGAACAGGACAGCGAAGGAAGGAGCTCGGCACAAAGCCACAACACCCAGTCTCCAGGGGCTTGCCACACGGTCACCTGGAGTCGGTAAGAAAGATAACCGAAAGCCAAAAAGCACGTCAGATGCTCTATGTGGTTTAATTTAATCTAATTCTAGATGACTGATATCCGAGGAACTGATATCCAAAGGCCCTCACTGTGCTGAGCTTTCAGGCTGAGAACACACGGGAAGGGTTTTACAGCCGTGATGCCCTGCGTCAGGCTTCCAACTTACACCCAGCTTACGGCTGCTTTACAACCACCTGCAGCAACCTCCACTGCTTCTTCAGCAGGGTTAGGCTTTTAGGAACAGTTCTTCAGCCTACTGGGCTTCACTTTGGACTATATTTAGCAAGGTGCTTATTTTTATTTTAAAGAAGCACTCTGCAGAGCTGCAGCGCATCCAGACTGAGCGCAGCGTTATTTTGGTTATAGCACGACTGCTTATTTCAGGCCACAGTGATAGTGCTCCATATAAATAGTTCCAGATCATAGTTTGAAAGGCACTACCAGATTTATATCTGAAATCCATGCTGCATTTCCATCATCTCCTACTTTCCAGTATCTATGGGATCTTATTTTGAAACCTTTTTAGAGGCGAAACTCCAAGAATATCAGTTTATTCTGCTAGGAAGTCACGCCCTAGCACAGAAGATGATATCCATCTCTAAAGAAATTCAGTACCCAACAGTAAAACCATTTATTGCTATTAACAAAAATTTAACTGACACCACTTTTATCCATATTGAAATCACAGTAACTTAAATCATAATAACTTAAGGGACAGTGGAAAAGTGAAGACTTAAACTGGATTGCTAAACAAGTTTTGTCAGCAGGATTTCTGCAACTTTTACACATCCTTGTTTACAGAAAAAAAAAAAAAAAAAAAAGGACTTTATTTACATTTTCTTATGTTTTCAGGGCAAGCTTTTTTGGGAGGGGGATTGTGGGAGCCTGTGAGTGCTGCCACTTGCAGAGGAAGAGGAGCGTGCTGCTGGCACGCGTGCTGCTCCGTCCTTACCCCTAATCAGGCAAATCTTCCTCGCGGGAGGGCACTGGAGGGGTTAGGAGAAAAGCAATACCTGAGTTGCAAGGTGCTTTGTACTGTGGGGATCTGATGAAGCTGAACACGAGGAAAAAGGATATTAACAGTGTTCTGGTCTGAGATCACAAACAACACAGCCTTCCCCCCTCGCACACGCACTTTGATACACTGGTTGTAAACCCAATCAGAAATGCTGCCTCTCACTGAAAAACCCCGTGGATTCACCAAACACCTTGTTTCTATTTGTCTCACATGGATTTCTAATTCCACAGTTGTTTCAGCCCTGGTGTTGCTGGAATGGAAAGCAATAAGCCTTTTTCCACTCAATCTGACTCAGCTTCATACCCGAGTTTTCTGTAATTAAACAAGCAGCAGCAAGACAAATTTGGGTTTTACACGTTAATGAAGCCTGGCAGTAAAGGCTGGGTGCCCTTGGTGGCTTTGGCATATCCACCACAGTGGGGCAGTTTTATCCCCAGGCTCTTACATCTGGGATCCCACCAGACCTGGCCGTGTGCCCTGTAGTGGTGCCCAGGTCCCCAGCACCCAGGCACGAGCCCCCCCTCCCTTCCTCTCCATGGGTTCCTACAAAAAAATTAAAAATACTCCCCACTACAACCCTAACACATTCTCCTTTCCCAAAGCCCCTTCATTACAGCCATTCCTCGTCTCACACGAACCAGGTGGGCTTGTTTAGGTAGCACCTGGTCACGCTGCATGATGCCAGCCCCAACGCTCTGCTCTCGCTTCCAGCAAGGACCTAATTTGTATAGATCTCCTGTAAACCCCCATAGCCCCTTCTGCTCAATTTAAACCAAGCCATTAGGAATCAATACCTATTCGGTGTCATTACTTGCTAAATAATCGATGGGACTCCGAGGAAATATAAAAATAATTAATGACTAATAAGCCTGCTTACATTAAACTAAGAAAATGGAAGTGAAATGTTCTCGGATGCAAAAAAGAAACAAAACATCACAAGAAGCCAAAGGACGTGTAATGTGCAAAAGCAAACATCTCAGGAAAGAAGCAGGTTATATTAACAGACCGGCTGATGCGCTTCGAGTGGAACAAATTGAATGGCTGCAGAATTGCATTACACCTGCATTTTTTCCAATGGTCATGCCCTGTAAATTGGTACACAAGGACACAGTTTCAAAATTGGCTAAATGCACCACTTCTGCGTAACAAGACATTTATTCATGATGATAAAGATGAAAACTATTCACCCGAATGAAGTACAAACACGCAGAACTGGAAATCATTTCCTTTCTGTAAGAATAAGCCTTAGAAAACTTAATCCAAATGAGGCTTTTGCTGTCCTTTGCTGCCTTGAAAAGCCTACGAGAAAACATTTCACCGAATCGATATTCCAGAGCATTCAAATGGAGAGCACTGGACCAGAGAAGCCAGTCCACACACGTCAGGCTGTAGTTCAGGTCTGAAAGCCTGTGCTGCATTGCACAGCAGCCAGCCCGCTATCTGCAGTGCCCCCTTCAAATGACAAAGCTAAGGACCAAGCCTACCTGCAAACCCCACAGCTGGCACTGCTGGTATTTGACGAGGTTGCTTTTTTACTACCAACATTGTACTTGGGATTGTGTTATGCTTCACAGGGGTAAACACGGCCAAGTGCTGGATTAAGTCTGCAGAAGCAGGACGCCTGCGGCACGTTACCGAGAAGCACTGAGAACCCTTGCAAGTCATTTCAGAAAAACACCACTTTCTGCATCACTGTGGCTCAACCGCTGCCTGGGAGCACACTTGTCTGCAGCACGCTCTGCTGCCTTTTCCTTTTCCCCACCGCTGTTTTGCTGGCGTCAGAGGAGCCGTTCACCTCCTCCAGCTGCCCAGGGCGACAGCTGAACGCCAGGCAGCTCTGGCTGTGCTTTCCACGCTGCTTCTAACAGCTCAGACAATAACACGTGATGCTGTAACGCTTCCAAAACCCAGGGAATTCCGTTTTATACCTCTATCAAAAGCAGACATTCACTGGTAACAAATGCATTTTCTAATTAGCCAAAACATTAATGAAGTTGGCTCCGGAGCGCCTCGATGTCTTATTTCTACTGCCAGGAAAACATGCATAACTCACCAAAAAGTGAAACAACCAAAAAACGTGCTAACTCAGAAAGCAAAGCTAAGAAAACACACCACTGACAAAATGCCTCTGTCTGAAAGGGTCTTGCATCAATCTGTAAGCAATTTAAGATAAATTGAGGCAGTTTCATACTATCAAACATGGCAGGGAATGAAGATTCCGAGTTTTCCCATGGGAAACCACCACGGGTGGGCAGGCGGCCAGCGGCTGCTTCCCACACCCCACAGAGGGACCAGGCTCTGGTCATCCCTGCACCTCCTGTGCTCCATCACCGCCCCGCTGTTTGCTTTCTTCTGCTCTTTTTCTACATTAGTAACTTGCTATTTTGGTGAGTCTCGAACATGAGGTGCTCTTTGAAGAACATTATTATTTCTGGGACCTTTACCTTTGATCAATCCCAAGCAATGCTGGGGACAAACCCACTCCCAGGGCTGCACAGCCCGTGGGTACACAGGAGGCACTGGGCTGACCCCGCTGTCCTCAGCCCCCCTGCAGCTTCGGCACCT